GAGAACCGGAAGAAACTGAGACATCAGCCAGCACCCCCATCCAGCCCCCCTCATCCCATCCCATCCCGCATCCAGCCCCCCTCATCCCATCCCACATCCAGCCCCCCTCATCCCATCCCCATCCCGCATCCAGGCCAGCCCTGAGCTCCAGGGCTGGCTTTGCCCATGCAGCCGCTCCGGGCCGGTTCGTTAACGCTGACCTATTATTCTGTTAAACCCACAGATTACAGGCGGACCAGGGCACCAGCGCTAATTAATACGAGCCCCTGGGCTGACGAGGGCAGGCCCGTTAAGAAATCCCTGAGCAAGCAGAAAGAACAAAGGCAAATATCCCCTAAAGGGCCAGCAGGAAAGCAGAGCCGGGCTGGGGGATTATTTCTTCTGGGTTTTTTTCCTATTTTATCCCCAAATTACATCAGTAATTCCCCCCGGCCACGCAGGGATTTGCCAGCTAACGGCCTCGCTGCTGCCGGCGTGGGTTGTGCTTCTCCGTGCCGGGGGATGCTCGGACGCATCGCTTGTGCAAACCCATGTCCAAACACTGGAAAAAAGCCCGTAAAATGCACAGAAAATTACTGCTCCCAACACTTTCACACGTGAGAAGAGATTTGGGGCTTTTTCCCCCTTCTACATTAATTTTTTAAAGCACCAGGGTGCACTCCAGCTCCATGGCCAAGGGTTTTTTTTCCTCCCAGAATCACGAGAAACTTCTTTTTAAAAAAACTAGAAGCAAATCCTCTCCCATTTATGCGCCTGGAGGCACCGAGACCTCGCAGCTTTCTTCAAATCCTTCCCGAAACGGAGCGTCTGCCCAGCCCACGCCCGGATGTGCCCCCGCAGCGCAGACCCCGGTCACCGGCTCCCTCCGCCTCGCCACGAGACGTGCTGGATTTTAAACAGTCTGAAACTTGGCTGTGCTTTCTAATGGGAGAAAAAGCACAAATCTGTCAAAATTTTCCAGGAAGGAAAGAAAAAAAAAAATTTTTTTTTCAAAATAAAAGTTTCAGAAACTCAGTGCCAAGTGATTAAAAAAAAAAGCACCCAAGTGTTTCTTTCCAAGATCTGCTGCAATGGGATATTCTGGGAGGGAGAAATTTGTTCTGAGTGCTGGGGAGTTTTTTTTTGGGTCTGAGAAACCAGAGCAGAGACAAACAGCGTTTCAGGCTGGCAGAGCCCCATTTCCCAGGGAAAAATGATTCCCTCACCCCCAATAAACTATTCCCAGCTGCCAACAATGGTGAGCAAATGTAACCCCCTCCTCCCCAGCTCCATCTCCACCACCCACATCCCACCGCCATGCCCAGCACAGCCACTGGCACCAGTGGGGCCCGTGCCTCTGTTTCCCCACTGCTCCACCATAGAATCATAGGTTGGAAAAGCCCTCTAAGATCACCACGTCCAACCGTCACCCCAACCCCACCACGCCTGCAAAACCATGTCCTGAAGTGCCACGTCTACACGTTTTTTGAACCCCTCCAGGGATGGGGACTCCACCACCACTCTGGGCAGCCTGGTCCAGTGCCTGACCATTTTTTCAGTAAATAAATTTTTCCCAATATCCAATCTAAACCTCCCCTGATGCAACTTGAGGCTGTTTCCCCTCACCCTATCACTTCTTACTTGCGAGAGACCAACACCCCCCTCACACCAACCTCCTTTCAGGCAGTTGTAGAGAGCGAGAAGGTCCCCTCTCAGCCCCCTCTTCTCCAGGCTGAACACCCACAGCTCCCTCAGCCGCTCCCCATCAGACTTGTTCTCCAGACCCCTCCCCAGCCTCGCTGCCCTTCTCTGGACACGCTCCAGCTCCTCAATGTCCTTCTTGGAGTGAGGGGCCCAGAGCTGAGCACAGCACTCGAGGTGCGGCCTCACCAGTGCCAAGTACAGGGACACGATCCCCTCCCTGCTCCTGCTGGCCACACCATTCCTGATCCAAGCCCGGATGCCCTTGGCCTTCTTGGCCACCTGGCAACACGTACAGCTGGCCTCGGCCCATCGATCCAGTCTGCCCAGACCCCTCTGCAGAGCCTTCCCACCCTCAAGCAGATCGACACTCCCACCCAGCCTGGTGCCATCTGCAGACTTACTGAGGGAGCACTCAATCCCCTCATCCAGATCATTGATAAAGATGGTAAACAAGACCAGACCCAAACCAAGCCCTGAGGAACAGCACTGATGACAGGCCACCAACTGGCCCTAACTCCATTCACCACCACTCTCTGTGCCTGGCCATTCAGCCAGTTCTTTACCCAGCGCAGAGCACACCCATCCAAACCACGAGCAGCCAGCCTCTCCAGGAGGACGCTGTGGGAAACAGCATCCAAGGCCTCACTAAAGTCCACGTAGATGACACCCACAGCCTTTCCCTCACCCACTGAGCGGGTCACCTGCTCATAGAAGGAGATCAGGCTGGTCAAGCAGGAGTCACCCCAAGGCTGGATGCTCAGCCACCTGTGAGACAATGCCCAGGCTCCAGAAGCTTAAAATGCAATTACGTGGAGTAGATATTCTGCTGGCAGAGGCAAAGCTGGCCGAGCCCATCCATCTTGCTCCTCGGACAGGTTTATTGTTATGGCTTTCCCCAGCGTGAGCCTTCCCTCCCACCCGCTCCCCCCATCCACGGCACAAAATGAAGGCGGCTCGACTGGCTGCTCCATCTCGCCGACAAATTTATCTATGATTTGTATACACAGGGAAAAAACACAAAAGGTTTTGCGGAGCCTTGGTTTCCATGAGGTATGGGATGCTTTTGGCACCTTCTCTCCCCACCCAAGGGCAGGGTTAGGGAGAAGTTCCACCTCCAGCCCCTTCTCCACCCCCACCACAAGATTCCTAAGGGCATAAAAATTAACACCTGAGGAACCAAATGCCAACATGGCAGCTCCAGAAGGGGTGGCTGTGGGTTCCCCCAGCAGCCGTGGCAAGTCAAAGGGGGTAAAGCCCAGAGCGGCTTTCAAAAAATTAAGGTTTCAACAACATGTTTGCAAGGAGGGGAGGGAGACTGCAACCCAAAGTACCTGTCTGCAGCAATGGGGACGGTTACACCCATCCTAAGGGCTAACGGCAGTGGGACGGGGTCTGAGGGAGCCGCACGGGACCACTCCGGGTCTGGATGTTCCCTAAAAACCACCGGGCAGAAACACGGAGCCCCCAGTTCGGAGACCCCAGTTCCCAGCCCCTGCGCTGGCTCAGGGCCAGGGTAGCAGCAGCTCCAGGCGATGGGATGAAGGCAGCGAGCGCAGGAGGTGTGATGTGAATGGCTAAAAATACTGCTGAGGGCGTAACGACCGCTCCCCGGGGGCACGACGCATCCACGGCATTGCCTGCACACCCCAAAGTCACCCAACCCCCCCAAACCCAGAGCTGACCCCACGCACGGCAGGCACCCGTGCCAAGGATGAGACATACCCCGTCAAACACCCCACACAAAACCCCCGTGGCACCGCAGCATGACCAGGAGGAGGGGAGAAGAGCCGGGGTTAAATATCAGATGGACCAATATTTTTTAAAAATTAAGAAAAAGAGAGGTGGTTTGAGGGATTTGCCAGGGAGACAGGTACCAGCGCTGCTCAGAATCCTCCCCGGGTACTGCTGTCACCCAGCATCCCCGCCCCGGGGACCACTGCCACCTCCACATCACCACAGCACGCCCGAGCAGCAGGACAAGCGCTAACATGAGGCTTCAACACCAGATGGACAAGAATTTTGTAAAAAGAAAGGAAAAAGAGGTGATTTGAGGGGTTTGCCAGGGAGATGGTCACCAGTGCTGCTCAGCACTCCCCCGGGTACCAGGGTCACCCAGCATCCCTCCTGGGTACCACTGCTACCACTGCAGCACCGGGGCAGAGGGGTGAGCACCAATGTGGGGGTTCAACACCCGATGGACCAAATTTAAAAAAAAAAAAAAAAAAAAAGAAACAAAAAAGGGTGCTAACAGATTCATCGGGGAGACAGGTACTGGTGCCACCCCGCATCCCTCCCGGATACCCGGGGATGGAGAGGAGAAAGGCCAGGGAGGGGGAAGAGGAGGAACCAAGGATTCACGAAGAAGCAGGAGGAAAAGAAGAAAAGACCAAACCACCAAGTACAACGGACGGTGTCTCATTATATCTCTGTGGCCACTGAGGAACATGGCCGCCTGCCCACCAGCCCGCCCGGCGCTCTTTCATCCGCTGAGCCTACGCTCCTCTCGCTTCAAAGTTAATTACACACTTAAACCTTTTCTGTTTAACCTCCTGCACCGTGGGACATGCTCCACGGGCTTCTCT